GGGGTCCTTGCCCCGCCCCGGTTTCCCCTTGTTCCCGGTGCCCCCCCGGTTCCCCGTGCCCCCGGTGCCCCCAGTGCCCCCCTGACCCCCACATCCCACAACGGGGGCTCGGTAACCTGCTGTACGTGTGTGTGATGCCCGAACACATCCCGAGCCTGGGGGTCCCTGCCCCGCCCCGGTTTCTCCTCGTTCCCGGTAACCCCCGGTTCCCCGTGCCCCCCGGTGCCCCCCGGTGCCCCCCTGACCCCTGCGGCCCCCCCATCCCACAAGGGGGGCTCGGTAACCTGCTGTATGTGTGTGTGATGCTCGACTACGCTTCCCTACCCCGCCCCGGTTTCCCCTCGTTCCCGGTGCCCCCCCCCGTGTCCCCTGTGCTCCCCGTGCCCCCCGGTGCCCCCCTGACCCCTGCGAACCCCCCCGTCCCGCAGCGGGGGTCTCAGTAACCTGCTGTACAAGTGCGCGCTGCCCGAGCACATCCTGAGCGTGGGGGACGAGCCCCGGCAGGTGCTGCTGCGAGTCTACGGGGTCATCCTGCAGGTGAGGGGGGGCCCGGGGGAGACCCCCCCCAACCATCCCCGGGAGAGACACCCCCCCCATCCCCGGGGGACCCCCCTGGGCAGCCCCGGGGCGGCTGCGGGGTCGGGGCTGTGCTGGGGTGGGGTTGGAGGGGCTCAGAGTTAAGGGAGGGGCTCTGGGGGTGCCGTGGCTCTGGGGGGGCTCACGGGGTGAGGGGGGTACCAGGGTGGGGGTGCCGGGGTTCTGTTCAGGGGATGGGGGTGCCCGGGTGGGGGTGCTGCGGCTCTGGGGGGGCTCATGGGGGGCAGTTGCTGGGGTAGGGGCTGCTGGAGCGGGGGTGCCACGGTTCAAGTTCTGGGGGTCCTGCAGGAGTGGGGTGCTGGGCTTTTGGGGGCACTGGTGTGGGGGTGCCGTGGCTCTGGGGGGGCTCGTGGGGTGGGGGGTGCTGGTGGGGGGTACCAGAGCTCTGTGGGGGCTTATGGGGTGGGAGGTGCCAGGGTGGGGGTGCTGGGGTGGGGGTACCTGGGCTCTGTGGGGGCTCACAGGGTGGGGGGTGCCGGGGTGGGGGTTGTGGGGTGGTGGTACCGGGGCTCTGTGGGGTGTGTGGGGGTGCCAGGGTTCAGCTCTGGGGGTTCGGCTCCAGGGGTCCTGCAGGGTGCTGGTGTGGGGTGCTGGGTGGGGAGTGCTGGTGTGGGGTCTCTGGGGTCCTGCTGGGTGCGGGGTGCCGGATGGGGGGTGCTGGTGTGGGGTCTGGGGTTCAGCCTGGGGGTCCTGCAGGGTGTGAAGTGCTGGGTGGGGGCTCTGGGGTCCTGCTGGGTGTGGGGTGCTGGGGAGGGGTCTCTGGGGTTCAGTTCCGGGGGTCTGGCTGGGTGTGGAGTGCTGGTGTGGGGTCTGGGGTCCAGCTCAGGTGTCCCACAGGGTGTGGGGTGCTGGACAGGGGTGCTGGTGTGGGGTCTCTGGGGTTCAGTTCTGGGGGTCCTGCTGGGTGTGGGGTGCTGGATGGGGGGTGCTGGTGTGGAGTCTCTGGGGTTCAGCTCAGGGGGTCCCACAGGGTGTGAGGTGCTGAGTGGGGGCTCTGGGGATTCAGCTCAGGGGTCCTGCTGGGTGTGGGGTCTCAGATTCAGCTCGGGGGGTCCCACAGGGTTTGGGATGCTGGTGTGGGGTCTGGGGTTCAGCTCAGGGGTCCTGCAGGGTGTGGGATGCTGGTGTGGGGTCTGGGGTTCATCTTGGGGTCCCACAGGGTGTGGGGTCTGGGGTTCAGTTCTGGGGGTCCTGCTGGCTGTGGGGTGCTGGTGTGGGGTCTGGGGTTCAGTTCTGGGGGTTCCCACAGGGTGTGAAGTACTGGGTGGGGGCTCTGGGGGTTCAGCTCTGGGGTCCTGCTGGGTGTGGGGTGCTGGGCTGGGGTCTCTGGGGTTCAGTTCCGGGGGTCTCGCTGGGTGTGGAGTACTGGTGTGGGGTCTGGGGTCCAGCTCAGGTGTCCCACAGGGTGTGGGGTGCTGGTGTGGGGTGCTGGATGGGAGGTGGTGGTGTGGGGTCTCTGGGGTTCAGCTCGGGGGGTCCCACAGGGCATGGGGTGCTGGTGTGGGCTCTGGGGTTCAGCTCAGGCATCCCACAGGGTGTGGGATGCTTGTGTGGGGGTCTGGGTTTCAGCTCAGGGGTCCTGCTGAGTGTGGGGTCTCAGATTCAGCTCAGGGGGTCCCACAGGGTGTGGGGTGCTGGTGTGGGGTCTGGGGTTCAGTTCTGGGGGTCCTGCTGGGTGTGGGGTGCTGGATGGGGGGTGCTGGTGTGGGATCTGGGGTTCAACTTGGGGGGTCCCACAGGGTGTGAGGTGCTGAGTGGGGGCTTTGGGGATTCAGCTCAAGGGTCCCACAGGGTGTGGGGTGCTGGTGTGGGGTCTGGGGTTCAGCTCAGGGGTCCCGCAGGGTGTGGGGTGCTGGATGGGGGTGCTGGTGTGGGGTCTCTGGGGTTCAGCCTGGGGGTCCCGCTGGGTCTGGGATGCTGGTTTGGGGTCTGGGGTTCAGCTTGAGGTCCCGCAGGGTGTGGGGTCTGGGGTTCAGTTCTGGGGGTCCCGCAGGGTTTGGGATGCTGGTGTGGGGTCTGGGGTTCAGTTCTGGGGGGTCCCACAGGGTGTGGGGTGCTGGGGTGGGGTCTCTGGAGTTCAGCTCAGGTGTCCCCCAGGGCGTGGACTCCCTGGTGCTGGAGAGCGTCATGTTCGCCATCCTGGCCGAGCGCGCGCTGGGCCCGCGGCTCTACGGGGTGTTCCCGCAGGGCCGGCTGGAGCAGTACATCCCGGTAGGACCAGGGGGCCTGGGATCCCCCCCCAGCCCATCCCGGGGGGCTCCGTGTCTCCCCCCGGGCCGGGCAGACCCCTCACTCACCCCCCCGTCCCCCCAGAGCCGGCGGCTGCGCACCGAGGACCTGCGGGACCCCGACGTGTCCGGGGAGATTGCGGTGAAGATGTCCCGGTTCCACGGGATGGTGATGCCCTTCAACAAGGAGCCCAAGTGGCTCTTTGGGACCATGGAAAAGTGAGGGCGGGGCCCCCGAAGTCCCAACGAGATCGTGGAGTGTGAGGGGTGACCCTCAGATCCCGCTGGGATCATGGGGTGGTGAAGGGTAGAGGGGGCCCCAAATCCCACCGGGACCAGGGAGGGGTGGGGGGAGGCCAAACCCCACCACGACCATGGGGGAATATGAGGGAGAGACCCCTAAATCCCACTGGGACCATGGAGTGGTGAGGGGGGTTCCCAAATCCCACTGGTACCATGGAGTGGTGAGGGGGAGCCCCAAATCCCACCAGTACCAGGGGGTGGGGAGAGGGAGCCCTAAATCCCACAGACCCCAGGGAGTAGTGAGGGGAGGCCCCAAATCCCACTGGGACCATGGAGCGGTGAGGGGCAGCCCCCAAATCCCAGCAGGACCAGGGGGTGGGGAGAGGGAGCCCTAAATCCCACAGACCCCAGGGAGTAGTGAGGGGAGGCCCCAAATCCCACTGGGACTATGGAGTGGGGAGGGGGAGCCCCAAATCCCACCAGGACCAGGGGGTGGGGAGAGGGAGCCCTAAATCCCACAGACCCCAGGGAGTAGTGAGGGGAGGCCCCAAATCCCACTGGGACCATGGAGCAGGGAGGGGGTTTCCCAAATCCCACCAAGACCATGGAGCAGGGAGGGGGGTTCCCAAATCCCACTGGGACCATGGAGCCAAGAGGGGGGTTCCCAAATCCCACTGGGACCATGGAGCAGGGAGGGGGGAGTCCCAAATCCCACTGGGACCATGGATTGGGGAGGGGCAGCCCCAAAATCCCACCAGGTCCAGAGCACTGGGTTGTTCTGGCTGCTTCCCATGGGACAGGGAACTGAGGGGTCCCTGGGGTGGGGTGGGGAGGGGGATCTTTGGGCAGGTGGCAGCCCCCAGGTGTGACTGTCCCCCGATGTCACCTGTCCCCAGGTACCTGAA